AAACGGTTGCCCATTGTAGAGCAAGAAGTAAGTACTCGGCCCCGGAGAAGTTCCATTTTCGGCGCGACGTGCATTCACAGCTATGGTGCCAAGCGTGACAGCCGCAGGTCGGTTCAGGCGAGGAGGTGATCGGCAGAGCTTCCCCACCGACCGGCAGGCACTTTGCCCGGGTGGCTACGGTGCCCGAGATCCGCGGTACGTGGCCAAGAAGCCTCGCAGGTTACCAGCGAAGCGCTCGTTCCACCATCAGTTCGCGATTCAACTCCCATGATGGGAGTTAAATCGTGAACTGATGGTGCAACGAGAGCCTCAGCGGTCGAGGTGAGTTCACGCGGTTCGTCCGAGCGTCAGGTAGACAGTACGTCGAACAATCCCTCGGAAGCTTTTTCCGAGGAAAAAACAACCGACGGATTGCCCGACGAACTGTCTGTCCGACGATCGGACGAACTGAGTGAACGCACCCCCTCTCACACACACACACACACACTACAGACACACCCTCACACCCTCACACGCACCCTCAGTCACGTGTCCCCTCCCGCGTCCCCTGTCCCTTTCCCCCACGTACGGGAGAAGGATCAAATTCACCAAGTCAAGATTTAAGAAAAGAAAAGAAAATAAACTTAGAAGAAAATAGGTACTTACCATACTTACCTGTTGTAGTACCTAAAGACAAAAAGTAAGAATGAAACGTTGAATTTATTTTGTTAGGTGACAGTTAGTTGTTAGTTTTGTTACAGATCATAAAAGAGATGAAGAGAAAAAGCAATGACAAGACTACATTTAGTATGTTAAGTAAGAAACGGGAAAAATTAAAATTAATGGGTTCGTTAAAGAAGGATGTGAAGTTTAGGAGAGGAACTCAGTTCATGCTCCGATCTATCTACGGGAGGAAAATGGTAGAATTTGGTGGGAGGTGCTACCTGTAAGAGAGAGGAGGGAGGCATATGAGTCTTACATACGGTACCTACAAAAAGTTAAGCTAACTAATTGTTCCTAAAAATATTCCTGCATTACATGGAAGTGAAATCTAAATCTGGTTACAGTTGTCGGACTCTTAAGTCACAATTGGCTCTCACTCGAAAATCCAGTAGAGCTTACAACATATTTGATTACTATTAAAAGTCATCTAAAACCTTTGAAAGGCCATTAGCTGTTCTCGGAGAACAGATGAAAAAAATAATCTGCTGACAATACTTTCTGCGAATTATGAGGAAGTTTCCACACGATGAGGTAAAAATAAATCCAGAGTCAAAATTACTTCGCTTAATACTTCTTTAAAATTGCTTAAAATTAATTGATAATAATAAAAAATTCTCAACTAAGGTACATATAAGTAGAGATTTAAAGGGGAAAAAAAGAAACTGGTTTTGCGCTGTCAAATTTTATCTGCAAATACCTGACGTACTACAGCGTGATATTACGCAAGGAAATTTTTTAAGTAAGCGATTTCCCGAGTACCTAGAATTCAAAAATTATCGATTGCTGAATCCACTATCAAATCATTTCAAGTTTGAATAAAATATGGAAAGGAAGAAGAGGAGGGGCGGGGATGGGGGGGGGGAATCTGGCGAGAGGTTTTCAACCAACGCTTGAGTGGCGGCAACCACCAGCGGACAAAGTCTAGACCTGTCAAGACACGAGAACGAGGGAAGCAGCCTGAAAGAGAGGTGAAACCTAACCGTAGACCACCCTGTCATCTAAAAATTGAATTGGATTATGTAACTCTGAAGAGACTGGGAGAGGGTTTGGGAAGGAAAACAACGTCTTATCGGCCGAAGGCGAGCAAACGAGTTGACTTCTAAGGTTCTCGAACCGAAAATCTGAATCTGTTTGCTGAAATCATCCGAGCCCGGGGGAATTCCTAGAAAAGATTCTTGGTCTGCAAAACTGGCATCCGGTCGGACCGAACTCGGGTGGGCTATGAGCGAAGCGTTGGGTTTTTCCCCCTTTCCAATCGGTTCTTATCTCCTCGACTACTCTCACACTCCTGCACGAAAATTCACGACAGAATTCGGACCCATCTCCTCACTATGGAAGGGCATGAATGTTCGCTCTCTCTCTTCCCCCTTTCAGCTACCGCTCATCTTCTCTCTTCAATTCTGTCTGTTGGGCCCTTATCTGAGCGAGGGGACTAGTCTGCCGTGCTAGGGAGGAACACCATATGAACATTCGAGAGTTGCCGAATTTCCCCGACTACAACATGCGATTCTGAGCAAAATTAAGTATGCACATTTTTCCTTGAAATTTTTAGGTGTGCTGGATTGAATTGAAAACAAAATTGTCTGAAAACTTTGAAGAAAACAACTCACGATTTTTACAATAAATTAATTTTTAGTTAAAGAAAATACGGCGACTTCTAAAGGAAGGCTCATACAGCGTTCCTCCTTAGCACGGCAGTAATTAACTAGACTAAAAACAATTCGGACCTAGCAAGCCATCCCTCACAATTGATGAACGACGAGGAGAAAGAAACGTAAGTGAGTTTATAGGAAAGACCTAAAGACTTTCTTGAGGCGATACAATTTCCGGGAAATTACCGGAATCTAAAATTTTCATGAGCATCATTTGGATGAGGCGAGCAGGTAGAAGTTAACCTTGTAAAGGCTCGATTTTGGTCAATTATGTGCTTTCTTTGGAAATTTTTTCATCTCCGAACAACTGA